CGTGGAATTAAGACGCGTAGAATTATGGTGCGTGGAATTACAACGCGTGGAATTAATAACACGTGGAATTACGCCACGTGGAATTAATAACGCGTGGAATTACAACACGTGGAATTACGACGCGTAGAATTACGGTGCGTGGAATTACAACGCATGGAATTACGACGCGTGGAATTAATAATACGTGGAATTACGACGCATGGAATTACGACGCGTGGAATTAATAACGCGTGGAATTACAACGCTTGGAATTACGACGTTAAATTACGATATTCGGGCCTCACACGAACGATCCTCTTCCACAAACGTTCCATAACACCCAGATACTATTCGCCATTAACATTTTGTCCCTGTGGAACGAATTCCCGAAGTATAATTGCTTTAGAATCGTAAAAGCAAATTAACATTGTCTTCTCTCGGGACTTCTGGAATCGCAATTTTTTTGATTTGGGAGAGCCTGGAGATTTCCACATAGCACTTTGGCGCTTTGAGGTTCATACTTGAAGCACCAAGTCTCATCACTAGTTACAATTGATTCCAGGAATGTCAGTTTCGTCTGGCTGTTTTGATAAGATCTCGCAATATTCAACGCGAGCAATTTGTTGCGCTTGCCCGCCATTTTGTGACACGGTGACGAAAGGTTCTGTCGCATTAAACGCTATAAGTTTATAATTCGTTGCTCGATTCCAATAATGATTGTTTTGTGCTCGATTCCAATAATGATTGTTCTCGATTCCAATAATGATTGTTTTGTAGTGGAGGCATACTGTTTTCAGATAACATATTGTTTTAATAGTAGTTTTCCTTAAATGTGAAAAGTTGTTTGTCCAAGGTGTATCAAACAATGGTTAGAGATGTGAAAAATTTACGGTAGCCGCCGTTGGCAGATACAGGCATAACTCTGGAATACTGTAAAATGTGTTCCGCAATACTGCTGACACTTGTGAGCTGTGAAGAAATATTGGCAGAACTCGCATGGAATCCTACGTTCCAGCTTCGTTGGAAATATTCCTTCCCGGACATTCTATTGGTCTCCCCCAAATTCGTTAAGCTGTCCGAAATAAATGGACCATCTATATGATGATCAAACCGCAAATTGTCATCAATTTTAAACAATTCCTGGCCGTAAAACTAATATCTAATACTCGAACTGTGGTCAGCGCAGTTCGAAAACCCTGGGCGATAAATTCATGGAATATCGATGGACCAAAAAATACCGGCGCATTCGTTGGGTCAAATTGGAGACGGGAGCTAGATGGAATACCTTTAACTCGTTCTCGAAACCCTGGATCCCCGTGTCCCGAACGAGATATGGGATTTATACGTGTCGCGATCCCCGCGTGGATTCGATCTAAACAAATCATGGAATTTCATTTCTGCTAGGTATCGGCCGGTGGATTGCGTTCGACCCATGGGATCCACTGAGAAATGTATTTCTTACGGTGAAACTGGTTTTATTACTTGAGTACCTTTATTACAAACTTTCATAATTTGTAACGTTAACTGTAAGAAGTGCTAGCTATATGTCTTGTGGTGATTTATTTTTAAAGGAGTACTTAGGAATGTCCATCACAAATATCACATATAATATCACATATAACATCGCATATCAAAATATCATATATAATATCACATTTCAAAGTATCACATATGATATCACATTTCAAAATATCACATATGATATCACATTTCAAAATATCACATATGATATCACATTTCAAAATATCACATATAACATCACATATCAAAATATCATATATAATATCACATTTCAAAATATCACATATGATATCACATTTCAAAATATCACATATGATATCACATTTCAAAATATCACATATGATATCACATTTCAAAATATCACATATGATATCACATTTCAAAATATCACATATGATATCACATTTCAAAATATCACATATGATATCACATTTCGAAATATCATACATGATATCAGATTTCAAAATATCACATATGATATCACATTTCAAAATATCACATATGATATCACATTTCAAAATATCACATATGATATCACATTTCAAAATATCACATATGATATCACATTTCAAAATATCACATATGATATCACATTTCAAAATATCACATATGATATCACATTTCAAAATATCACATATGATATCACATTTCAAAATATCACATATGATATCACATTTCAAAATATCACATATGATATCACATTTCAAAATATCACATATGATATCACATTTCAAAATATCACATATGATATCACATTTCAAAATATCACATATGATATCACATTTCAAAATATCACATATGATATCACATTTCAAAATATCACATATGATATCACATTTCAAAATATCACATATGATATCACATTTCAAAATATCACATATGATATCACATTTCAAAATATCACATATGATATCACATTTCAAAATATCACATATGATATCACATTTCAAAATATCACATATGATATCACATTTCAAAATATCACATATGATATCACATTTCAAAATATCACATATGATATCACATTTCAAAATATTACATATAATATCACATTTAAAAATATCACATATAACATCATATATCAAAATATCATATATAATATCACATTTCAAAATATCACATATGATATCACATATGATATCAGATTTCAATATATCACATATGATATCGCATATAATATCACGTATCAAAACACCACATATAATATAGAATATACTATAAAAAATATATAATAATGAATATAATGGTAATACAATACCCTTGCATATAACATATGGTAACACATGGCGATCACATGTGTCCTAACACGCTATCCAAACGCACAATGTATCTAACAGCTCTCCCGCAAAAAATCTCTAAAATGTAACACCATTTCCATAATTAGCAAGGAATAAACCTTGTCCAACAAATATTTGAACGGATATAGAACGGGACAACGTACAAAATACGGAGAAAGATGCGGTCCGGAGGGAGCCACCAGTGGACGAGGATAACGAACCAACGGATTACCCGACTCTCTAATATCATTACAAACTCCTCTCCGCTGAATATCGCAACGAATACAACTCTCTGTTCATATCTCCAACCTCAGACATACAGAGCGGTGCACTGGGTCAACTAAATCGTACTTAAGGTTCGTAATCACTTTGCTACTCGAAGTGAATTACAGTGGATTTGTTTAGGCGGACATATGGACACAGTTCTGATGTCTGTGTTAGGCATTATATTGCTGGTATCAAATATCTGTTGAACAGAAGTATAAATTATTGCGTAAGTGAGTGGAATGAGGATCATAATTATGCCTGACCTTACTTGAACTGGGTGGACGTTCATTGTACATTGTATCTGGTAGGCTTTGGTGCCTTAACCTAACTGCTTGTCTAATAGCTGATGTGATAGTCATTGCAATAGGCATTGTATTTTAATGTAGCTTCCATATCAAGTTTCAAGTGTATTCATGTAACCTAACCTCTAACCTATATCTTACTAATCTAGCCTAACCTCAGTACACTGCATTGATGCAGCGTAACCTTCAAATCTCTATCGTACTAATATAGTTTGATCTTAATGTACTGCACTAATGCAGCATAACCTACAAAGCTAATATAGCCTAACCTTAATATACTGCATTAATGTACCCTAAGCTTCACATCTATATGGTACTAATATAGTCTAACCCTATAGCCTAATATAGCCTAACCCTGCAGCCTAATATACCCTAACCTTGTAGATTAATAGCTTAATATAGCCTAACCCTACAGCCTAATACAGCCTAACCCTCTAGACTAATGTAGTATAACCCTGTAGATTAATAGCTTAATATAGCCTAACCCTGTAGCTCAATAGCTTAATATAGCCTAACCCTATAGCCTAATATAGCCTAACCCTTTAGACTAATGTAGCCTAACCCTGTAGATTAATAGCTTAATATAGCCTAACCTAACCTAATATAGCCTAACTCTTTAGACTAATATAGCCTAACCTTGTAGCCTAACAGCCTAATATAGTCTAACCCTATAGCCTAGTAGCCTAACATAACCTAACCTAACCTCCAAATCTATGACTTATAATTATAACCTAACCTTAAAATACCGCATCAATGCGCCCTAACCTCCAAATCTAAATTATCAACCTAACCTTAATAACATTCCAACTCAATCCACTATCCACCTGAAAAACAACATTCTAAAAATCCATAAACCGCAAAATGGTAATGGTAAATATACATTTGCTCGTCACAGAAGCAAAAAGCCAATTACACGAATAAAAATGTTTTTAATTAGAGAGGTAATAATCCAAGCCCGTGCAACGATTTACGATAATAAATGTACGACGAGTGGTTCGTCTATATCATTGGCCGTGTTTCCTCGCTGACACATATCTTTTAGCCGCTGGAGGATGTTCACGGATGCATTGAATCATCCGGCTGACGGTCGGGAAAATTCTATGCATGTTTGAGCGAGACGCGTTCACAGTCGTTCCTTTGCTCAGGGCTACCGGGAGGTTGTAGAGCAGCCGGGTGAGTTCTTTTTATTCTTTTGGGTGGGATGGATTCTCCTTTTTTTTTCTCTCTTTTTTAAAGACAGAGGGAGCTCAGGTTGTTAGGTCAGAGCCGTTCGTTTGAGGACGTAAATTAGTGATATTTGAGGTCGAACGGAAAGCGATGGTTGCCAACTGAATTACCAATGAAATTAATTAATAATACAATTTCCCTTTTAGAATTCACTGATACTCTACAACTTCCTCTTTATCCCTTTAACTCGGTATCGGCCGCTCTATGAATCGCGAGAACTTATAATTCTGTTCAGTCATTTATCCATTTTCTATGGATCACGTTATACGATCTGTTGAATAAGACGCACTGTTCTCGTTGCGTCATGCATAGCCAGTTAATTATTCCCGCAACATGAAGAGAACTGAAGAAATTTTAAATGTTAGGTACGTTATACATTCAGTAATACTCGATTACGAAGATTACAATTCTAGATTACGAGTCTAGTTTATGACTTTGGGTCTGTAGTGTGCGTCACGATGAAACAAATGTGCGTCACGATCGGACAAGTGTGCGTCACGATGGGATAAGCGTGCGTCACGATGGGACAGGTGTGCGTCACGATGGAATAGGTGTGCGTCACGATGGAATAGGCGTGCGTCACAATGGGACAGGTGTGCGTCACGATGGAATAGGCGTGCGTCACGATGGGTCCAGTATGCGTCACGATGGGATAAGCGTGCGTCACGATAGAATAAGTGTGCGTCACGATGGGACAATCGTGCGTCACGATGGGACAATCGTGCGTCACGATGGAATAGGTGTGCGTCACGATGGGACAAGCGTGCGTCACAATGGGACAGATGTGCGTCACGATGGAATAGGCGTGCGTCACGATAGAATAGGTGTGCGTCACGATAGGATAAGCGTGCGTCACGACGGAATAGTTGTGCGTCACGATGGGTCCAGTATGCGTCACGGCGGGATAAGCGTGCGTCACGATTGGACAGGTGTGCGTCATGAAGATACAAGTGTGCGTCACGACAAGACAAGTGTGCGTCACGTTAGAACATGGCATTAATTCATACTTTAAGTAGTCTATACTTTAGTCTATAGTTTAAATACCTAACCACAAGTATAGTAAGCAAACTACATCTCAGAAAAAAGCCAGAATTCTTCAGACCCTGCCACATAGGAAGTGGGTCTCGATGCTGGTAGCGTGTGCCGCATAATGCTGTCGATATAACGATAGTCATCGAGCACGAGTAACGACAACAACACCGACAGCTGACAGTATCTACGGAATGCAATTCACTAAAGACAATGCCGCTGCGTTAAAAGGGCCCGTATAGATAACCTGGTGGCCTGGTCGGGCATACATAACACACGCGCAGCCACGTTCGCCCGTCGGCGTAACGATGTGGGGAATCGATATGCCGTCCAGAAGAGTGCATGACCGAGACACGGTAGTTGTATCGTCGGCTTGTTTGCTGATAAAACTGCTTTACTGGTCGGCCACTCGGCTAAATAATTGGTTAAATAATTGGCCGTGCGGTGGCCTGTCATTAACCCTTTGCCTGCTGCAATCTGCTTCAACTTTCAGTCTTTGCCCGACTTTATTACGGCCGGTTGTATTATTTTATTGGAAATCGAAGTGTGGTGGACTCTTGGTATATTGCCGTTTTCGGGGGGATGTGAACTGTGGTACTATGGTATTATAGGATATATAATACCATTGTTATTATAGGATATTATTGCTGTTGTAGGATATAGGTTACTTCTGTATGCGCTGTATGGAGTTATATTAGTGTTAGATTACTTCGTATATTGCAGGTTATACTATATCACTGTACGCCAGATCACTATGTAATATAACTAAACGTTGGACTACTACACATTAAATTACTACAAGTTAAATAACTACGCGCTGTATCACTACACGTTAGGTCATTATACACTATAACTACACGCTATATAATTACCCGTTAGATAACCACGCACTAAATCACTACACGTCGAATCACTACATCACCTCATTTTAAAAACGTGTGTATTTGAAAATCAGTAAAACCCAAAATTAAAACAGAACCACAGTGTCCACCAATTTTGAACCTCTCAATATATCGCCAACAGCAATTGTCCAACACTGTCCGCAAAAAAGCGAACTGTACAGGAATTTTTCCAAGATTTCCTAAAAATGCAATCCCCTCGGTATCCATCCGTGTCACCCATCGGTTCTTTGTCGAGAATTCTTTCGTTTCGTTGGCGTGCATTCGGAAGTTCGTTTGGTTCGCAAGTTGCAGGTTTTGCATAAACGACAGCTCGCCCGGAAACGTTTCAATATCGCACGAACTTGTAGAACTAATATTCTCCGATACGCCGGTGTGTTTGTGTGCGCGAACAGAGTGAACCAATGAGAGTAGTTCGCATATTTACCGTGACACAATTTTGGTAAATAGAAACGATGGAATATGTAATCGGAAGATGGGACGAGCTTCCTGGAATCGACGATCGATTCCGATCCTTGTTTAAATGGCGCGGAAACGTTTCGCTAACTGGCGAACTTCGTCCTTCTTCAATTTTCCCAGGACTTTAGAGGGTGGTTAATTGATGTTGGAGACTTTTAGCAGTCTGGCGGTCGCTTTAACGTTTCGGTATTTCACTGAGAATACAGGGTACTTCAAAATAGGTGTATGACAGCTGATGGCAATAGGAGATCTTAGGAGTTTTTTTAGGAATTATTTAACCAAAAATATGCCTAACAGTCTAACAGTCGCTTTAATGTTTCAGTATTTCACAAAAATACACGACGGTTCAAAATAGGCGTACGTCAGCTGATGGTATCTTAGCAATTGTTTCAGGAATTATTCAAACATACTGTTCATAATAAACTCTAATAAATAATATGATATATTATTTAGGCAAAAATATGCCTAACAGTCTGACAATCCCTTTAACATTTCGGTATTTCACCAAACTACAGGGCGGTTTAAAATAGGCGTACGTCAGGTGATGGTATCTTAGCAATTGTTTTAGGAATTATTCAAATAGACTGTTCATAATAAACTCTAATAAATAATATGATATATTATTTAGGCAAAAATGTACCTAACAGTCTGACAGTCCCTTTAACGTTTCAGTATTTCAGCAAAATACAGGGCGGTTCAAAATAGGCGTACGTCAGCTGATGGCAATACGAAAGATAACATGTTAACTAATCTGTCTATCTTACGACTTATTTATTCTATCTTACGACTTCTTAATAATAAACTCTAATAGATAATATGTTACTGCAAAAATGCCTAACCTTGGCCTTACCATCGCCTTGAAAAGGGAGCATTTAGCGTTCACAAAGCATCGACACGCGTCTTCTGAATTCTCGCGGGGTAAATAGTGGCTTTTATGCAAACACGTCTTCAATCCCGGCCAAGGGGCGCCACCCCTTGCGCATTTTTGTTAAGAATTGCGAGGCCATCCCTCGAATGAAACAGGGCATAAAAGGGACGTCAAAAACGCGTTGGAGGTGAAAGAAAGGATAACTTGAATGTCTATCGTTGTGCGTAATTGATCTTCTTTTTCCGAACAGTCTATGTACACAGCTTGCAATTAATCTGATCGGATCTGTCCATAAATCGCAGCGTAATTTCCCGTCCTAAATGTTAAACGCCAGCGGATATTTACAGAAGGTAATTAAGTGTACACAACCGTTCGCTAGATGGGAATCCCCTAGATTTTATCCCTAGTTTCGTTAATTTCCTCTCTTTCAAACATCCTCGCCGGAACAATCGCAAATTTATTTATTCAACGATTTTATTAATTTTATACACCTGGAATTAATTTCCGATATTTATCGATTCAAAACTTGTTTTAAATGTTTATTCGATGTTTTATGATGATGCGTAATTGTTTCGTAAATTAAAACGTTCACAAACGTTGTAATTTCACGTCTCGTTATTCAACGCTTCGTAACTCCACGCGGTCTAATTTCACGCGATACCCTCGAAAGAATAGTTATCAGAACCCGGAGCGAATATTGCGTTCCGGTGTACTTTTTTCCATTTCGACCTTCACCAATTTCACATCTTTTTGCTCGAACCTTTTCATTTTAAATTTCATTCGAGCTTTTTGTCTCGAGCAGCCGAGAAATTGAACGATTACAAACGTACAACGTGCACGAAATTTATTTCCCGTTTCTGAACGCTCTCGCGTCTCCGAAAGAGGAATTTAATCGCTTTCTTTGACCTTTATTTAATATCCCCGTCTTTGTTGGAACGAGATATAAAGGAATACGTGTGCAAGATAACTATAAAAGGTTGTTACAGGATTTGTGAGCGCGCGCCATAAAGCCAATAGAAATATGTCACGCGGATCAAAGCGAGCCAACGTTAGTAAAGATAAAAGATAAATTGACTTCGCATTAAAGGAGAGCTATTACAATTCAATTTCAAACCGTATAATTACCTCATACCGCACTAACCTATTTACTAGTTACAAATTTTCAAAACACAAATACACAGATTTCTTGTCGGCCATTTTACGTCAAATCACTTTTGGACGACACCATTTTGCTGTTATCAAAATAGGCTTCACTTATGAATTTTTTTCTCAGAAACTACTTAACCGATTTAGTTAAATTCTTTTTTGTTTTATTCGCGAAGAATTGGGCTATTTTAAAATATTTTTTTCAATTCCGTCAATTTGTTATGAAATTTCTAAAAATTTTATAAAGCCGCTCATTGAAAAAACCGCGAAAAAAGAATTTGTTTAAATTTTTCGACATTTCATAACAAATTGAGTGAACTGAAAAAAATATTTTAAAATAGCACAATTCTTTGTGAATAAAACAAAAAAGAGTTTAGGTAAATCGGTTGAGTAGTTTCTGAGAAAAAAATTTGTAAGTGAAGCCTGTTTATAAATTAATACATAAAAAATTGCAAACTTTGAAGGTTTGTTATTTTTTAACAAATTCGAAACCGGGTAAATGATGACTTAAACCCTCCCTAATTTCACATGGACTACGAAATATTTTAATTGGAGCAAAATCGCAGATGGTGACGTCCAAAGATTTGAAACGACCCTATAATTATTAAAAATAATGTTCTTACTTTTGATTTCAGGTAGGTGAAAGTCCCTATGGTATTGGTGAGTCATATATTTCTAATTATGGGCACAGTCAGAATTTGAATGACAAAGTGTGGGGTGCATTGTGTAGCGTGCGAGGTACAGATGGCCCTTCAAAAGGGTAAATAAAGGGTAATTCAGATTAGATTTCTGTTAATTTGAAAAGGGGGAGTTTCTAACCCGGACTTGATTTTTGTTCCATCAGTCATTAACGATAATGTTATCATCGGTAATGAACGTGTCAACGTGTTAAACAAAGATTAAAGTCGCACCGATAACTGTACCGAAGTACAATTGTCGCGCAGATAAAAGCATCGGGTATCATTGTTTAACTAATTTCCGCGCGATATTCATGTATTGATTCTGGAAGCAGCACGCGGCCCATTTAATCGACGTGTTCTAACGTCGAATGGGGTGGTTTCATCGCTCGTAACGAGATTCGAATCGTTTGTATATCGTTGCAAACCGCGAGGTTACGTTTCAGCAATATCCACCGGCAGCGTGCTAATGTATTTTTAATACGTTTCCCCGGCGATTAATCAGAGTATGCCGGTCGGCCGTGTGTTTTTAATGTTCGACGGGAAACCCTGGCCACCCTTTCATGGCCGCTGAAAATTTAAATAGCCGTCAGCGGACCCGTGACGGCAGATAAGGAAAATTGCCGCAAAAGGGGAACTGCTGGAACGTTCGAATAATTGTATGCTTTGTTTTTTTCCTAAGGGATGAACAAAATGGAATATAATTTTATAAATGTAAAACTCGTTACTTTGTTCTCATGAAATATTCATCGATGCGTGTTACGTTAACGCGTCTGTTTCTATTTAAATTTCATGCGGGCATCACTGGGATATACTTTCACATACTGGAATCATTTTGCTTATAAGGATAACAAGATTGAAG